GAAATTAAGTAAACCCAACCTAAATCAAAGTTAAAGAGAGGGATTCATGGCTGAATCTTACCAGAAAAATGCCCAGAAATTCGTACATAGCAGCAGAAATTCGCGGACAGCAGAGGAGGAAGACGCAGAGCAACGCAGATCTGGAAATTTATGGGTTTAGGAGAGTGTTCTAAGTCCTAAATCTTGTTATTGAACAAGAAAGAAGAGAAAATCACCAAGCTTTACCGGTTTTCTCAAGGGAGATGCCACCGGCAGCTGGCTTCTTTCTCGAGTTGCAGGGGCGAGGAAGAAGAAGAGCAGAACGTGCAAGTGGCTAGGAGGAAATTTCTGGGTTTAAACCTTGTTCTCCATCAAGAAAGAAAAGGGAAAACTCAAGCTCTTTACCGGTTCTCAAGGGGGAAGCTTCAGCGGCTTTGGGGGGGGACTTTCGGGAGGCAGAGCATCGGGGAGAAGAAGAAGATGAGGAAGAGCAAAACACGTGGCTGAGGAGAGAAATATCAGCCTTTATCCTTATCCTAATTTCCTTTCTTTTAAGCCCTTGAACTTTGAAAATATTTGCTATTAAATTCATTAATAATATTTCTTCACAATTAGGTCCCTAACTCACTTTAATGCTCTAGAAATTTTGGGGTATTACAGGGGTTGTGTAGCATTCATAGAATATTGCTGGCTAAGTAAGCACATGTGCTCTTGGAATCTCTTCTCAAAGTTGGCCTCCATCTCTGATACTCTCTGTGATACCTCTGTATGAATACATGCGACCACCTCTTTCTGAACCTGCTCAGCCATTTCTTCTCGAACTTGAGTAAGCTCAAACTGCAACAGCTAGACTTGTGTTGTAAGAATCCTGGTGGTAGAAGAGAAGGCGTCACTCATGTCATACCATCGCCAAGGGATGCCATGCTTTGCTGGGTCCTGTAATGTAGACATCCCTCTCATCTGACCCTTTTTAGGAGGTCCAACCACCTCCTTCCAGATAAGTGGATCCCATTCTGGCCATGAATCCTTGTTTGGCCCATGCTTCTCCACATATTTTTGGTGAGCATCATTCTGTTTCAAAAATAAAATTTTCATTAGTTAGCAATTTCAAATAATAATGGGAAATCAAATGAAAAATAATCATTTACTAAGTACAATGGATACAAAATTGTATCACTTTTCTTCTTTTAGGGCAATATGACATTAAAAATAAATAAAATTAATTTCATAAAAGAATCAGATTCTTACATATGTTTGCTCAGCCTGTGGACATATCCAAGTGGGTGGGGCATCTTCTGGAGCATCAGGTCGGCGAGTCATGTGAGTCAACAAGTACGACTCCAAAGGTGTCGGCCTAACTCTTCCTCTTTTAGCTGCCTATTAAAACATCAATAAAATCAATAACATTTCCATTTTTATGGTAAACAAAAATAATTTATATATGTATATACATAAGTATATCCTACTAACCAGTCGATTCTCGTGGATCCAAATAGAAAGGCATCCAGTTGTATGGGTCACACGATCACCCTTTGCTCGGTTTTGCCGACCTCTTTCCTGGAGTGCAATATATTTTGGACTCCTCCATTTTGCCAACAAAATTTTAAAGGTATCCTTATGCATGAACTCGGGCAACTTCTTGTCCTTGACCCATGCCTTTCAAGCTCAATGAAGCTCGTCTCGGAAATGGTTCCGATAATGTAATCTCCAAATTTTATACACATGAGCATCACCTTCTTCCCAATAATATGTCCTCTGCAATGAAAAAAAAAATAAATGTTAATAATTTATTTGATTTTTCTTAAAAAAAGAGCAAAGTTTTGCTTAAATTATCATTTTTGTTTCACTACTAATAAATAAAATATAAAAAATCATATAAAATATACCTTGTACTTCCATATCAAATGCCATAAAATAAAATGATAGCATCTAAATAAATTCTCAAAAAATACTTCATTTTATTCTATAATTTTCATACCTGAAAATTCTCCCAAGCAACTCTCTTCTTTTCCTCAAGCCAACTAGACCAAAAAAGCACTGGCTCATCATACAAGTACTTCCAAATTACTGTGGCAGTCTTCCCAAACCTCTTATGGTTGAATGTGCCTTGGCGATTAAGGCTAAGTACCTTCCTTTGACTTGGGTCTGCAGGAGCGTCATCTCCTTTATCCATGCCACGTCTTGTCTTCGGGACAGCACGTGATAGCTCCTCCTCCAGCTGAGCATCTAACTCAGGATCAAGCACAGCAAACTCAGCATCCAACTCAGCCTCCAAATTATGCTCTTTAATGTCCTCCTCCATTGTTGCATCATCACCAGTGTACTGGTCATCGTCCAATGGTGGCTGAGTAACAGTGGGTTGCTCCTGCTGCAACTGTGTGGGAAGCTAAGTCAAATTGGAAAGCTGTTGCTATGCGGGAGGTTGGCTCAAGCTGGACAGTTGCTGCTACGTAGGAATAGCCTTACAAGGCCCCCAAATAAGACGACAAAGTGGCCTCTGTGGTTCTCCCTCTGGATCAACCTGCTATCTAGAAGAAGATGCACCTCGTGTACCTCGTCTCATATCTATATACAAAAAATAATGCAAACACATCAACTTCCTTTTCATGAAGAAAAGCAAAAATTTTAAAGAATAAAAAAAAACCAGAATATAAAAATATTCAATTAATAACTTTTAGATTAGATAAAGATATAACAGTAACCAAACTCATTAAATAAGTTTAATACAATATGAAAAAAAAATCATACATTTGTTTAAATGAGAATTCAAAAAATGAAAAATATAAATATCAATACACAACTAAATATATATAAATAACTATAAATATATGAAATATATATTTATAAGTAAATAGATATATATATCAATATAAATA